CATGGCCTCAGTACCCACAAGACAGAGCTGGGAAACCAAGGCCCTGATACCCACAGGCCAGGGCTGGGCAGCCCTGGCCTCAGTACCCACGGGACAGGGCTGGGAAACCAAGGCCCTGATGGCCACAGGCCAGGGCTGGGTGGCCATGATCTTGATGCCCATCCACCAGCCAGGCTCGGCAGCCGTGATCTCAGCATCTGCGGGCAGGGCAGCCATGGCCTGGATGCCCATGGGCCAGGGCTGTGCAGGCAGCTGTGGGGGCCTTATCTGCCTGTGCTGGTGGGAAGGGGTGTAAGGACGGCATCCCCATGGCTCCCAGCCAGCTCCCGCTGCGCTCTGTGCTGGACAGCTACAGCCAGCCACTGCAGACTCTGCCACAAAGGTGTAAGTTGACTTTTTAGGCTCTGGTTTGATTCTGAAAAACCCGACCAAGTCACTGCTGTGCAAACCACAGTTTCTTGACTTGGTCAGCTGAAATATGCATGACGGCAGTTCAACTTTTTGTCCTAACATTCATTTTAAATCAGTTAAAATAATATGAAAATAGCTATTGCGCCATCCTAAATAGATATGCAACCCACTCCAGTCTTCCTTCACTAAATCTGTATGTGATAAGCAGCATATCAACCTGAAGCCTTCTGCACTGTAATGAAAGCAAACAAACACCATATACACACTCCTGACTTCCTCACACATGCACTTACAAGGGGAAAATGTTGATCTCTCTAAAGCATAAATACTTGTAAGGAATAAATCTTATCATTAGATGCTCTGCTGCTTAATTGTTATTAAAAGCAGGGAACAAAACGTGTAAAAAAAAGTCTGGTCTGGGTAAAAGACTGCAAATGTGAAAAATGCCACATGCCCGCAGAGTACTGTCATAAGAGAACCCAACCCACTCTGTGTACCGCCGGTAAGACACCATGCGGGGAGGGGGCTGCAGGATGCTGGGAGCAGCTCGGTGTCAGGGTGCTCCTGAGCCCAAACAGCTCAGTAATTATGTTCCGTAGCGTTAAATGTTCTCCCGATGAACAGGAGCACAAAATCGGTTGTACAAGCCCAGTCACTGACTTCACTCACACACCCCACGGAAGCTGCGGCATCCTGACTTCAGTGACACAGACATGACAAATATTGTAATAACTTTCTGTTTGTCTTAATACTCCAGTGTTCAGAATCACAAAAGAGCCTCACAAGGCAGATGCTCTAATCCTCTGTTATACAATGATTAGGTCTAATTACTCCTTCTTTGTACCCTGGAGCTACGGGAACCTCTGTTCTCCCAGAAACACTGACCCACCAGCCCTGAGCCTCTTCTGCAGAACACCCTAGGAGGGACTTCTACAGGAACATTTAAATAAATACCACAGTCATCCCAGAGGAAGGGAAAAAATCCTGGCATTTAGTTGAAAAGGAGAGATGTAACTGATTAATTGTGATGGGTTACTGTTATTCTTTTATTAAATGTTAGAATTATAGTCAGGGCAGAGGCCCCATCCTGCCCAGGAGTAACTGCCTGCTTTGAAATGCCCCTTGCTGTAATTTCTTTCCTCGCCAAGGAAGCGCAATGCAGGATTTGAACTGCTTGGGGAATTAGTCGCAAACGAGGTTAAACCTGAAACCGGCACCTTGCTTGGGATCTGCGATGCCACCACGCACATGTGGGACTGTCGAAGCTCTTAGTTGACAGAGATTATGCCCAGTGGGTTTGGAAACGTGTGTTTTGTCTCTGCTGGGACGCTGCTGTGCTCAGCGCTTCTCTGGCCACGCACACAGATGATGCTGGTGCTCATAAATCACTGAATATCACCAGGGCTTGTGTGCCATCACCCCTGGTTAGAACCTCTGGGGTCCCTCGTGACACCTCTTCATTTTTCCATAACTAATATAATTTGACATTTAATTTAAAATTAACGTCCCTTTCCCCATGTAACGTGTCACCTGTGCCCCTGTGGTATAATAACGGTTTCAATTATCCATCGGGGACACATGGTATTTTGTTTCAGTCACAGAGCATAAACTCGAAATGCAGATATTGCTGTGTTCATGTTTCCCTTTAGAAAACTCTAATGGAAGAATGACTAAGGGCACAAGATGATGATATTAGCTTATTATTATTATTATTATTTCATAAGGCAGGTAGGTTTTGGTAACATTCCAGAAAATTTTTCTGCCATTAAAAATTATGGTCTAGCTACTTCTGATACGTGTTGGCGACGTCCCATCACCCATGGGGTGGGCAGAAGCCAAGAGCAACCTATGGGTGGAAAGTGGTTGAAGTAAATTCAGAATTTGTTGAATTGGTGTTGCATATCTAATTTTGACACATCAGAAAAAAAATTGTTACTTGTGATTGAAAGTGCCTGCAGGCATGCTCCGTGTTCCAACAGAAGCCATGGGGCAGACGAGACGTCACCTCAGAACTGTCGGCATGAGGACTACGCCCTCTGGTCCCAAGGAACGCGTTTGGGTGCCTCTTCTCACACCCAGAGTACTCACCGGGTCACTAAGGAGTCCTCTGGAAACCCAGAAGTGTGAGGTTTCACCTTAGAGATTACAGTATCACAAGTTTGGATCTGGGAGCGGTGCGCTTGGGTGGAGGTAGCAGATGCCTGCTCTTTCTGCTGGAGAAGGGGGGGCTGTGAGACCCCTCTGCGGGTACCACTAGCAATGGGAGAGTGACCAATGAAAACCTAACCTGCCTATGACACTGCTAAACCCAAAAGGTTCCTCTGCACTACACCATGGAGTAGCAACTGTCAGGAAGAAAAATGATTGCTGTCAATCCCACAGTTAGGATGTCAAGATTAAGTAGGTCATCGACTGTGCTTACAACACTGGTTTGAAAATGGCACAGGAAAAGAGTGACAAGCAATGGCTGATACCTACGTGGAGTGCCTTAGCCAAAGATCCCATCGATGTCAGCCACCGAGTATGAAGTAATGATCACACAGGTGAAGGAGGTAAAAAATCATACAATCACAGACTGGTTTGGGACGGAAGGGACCTTAAAGCCCCCCCAGCCTCACCCCCTGCCATGGGCAGGGACACCTTCCATAGCCCAGGGTGCTCCCAGCCTCATCCAGCCTGGCCTTGGACACTCCCAGGGATGGGGCATCCACAGCTTCTCTGGGCAGCCGGTCCCCGTGTACATGATTCATGAGGAAAAGCTCCAGCGGCAGCTGGAACAGGAAC